CCCTCAGGGGTTGGAAATGCCCAGCCTGGACACACACGGAGCAGTGCCTGTGCCGCCACGCGTGGGGATGGTAGCTTGGGCCATGCACGCAGGAGGGCACAGCCCGTGTCCCCCTGCACGGCTATGCCTGGGCAGGACGGGAAGGACGGATGGCACCGGCCCCTCGCACTCAGAGGGACCCCCATCCCCACCAGCTCCCCTAATCCCACTGGGAAAGGGGGACGGTGGGGGCTTTGCAATGCCCTAAAACATACAGAAAAGGCAAAGCCCCCGCTGTGCCTTGGAGCTGGGCTGAGCGTGCAGGGGGTCCTGGAGGGGTCTTGGACCCCCATCCCTGGGTGAAGGAGGTAGCGTGGGGAGCTGGAGGCCCAGCCGCACTCTGTGACGCGCAGGATCTCGGAGGATGGGATAAAAAAAGAGTAAAAAATAATAACTGGGGGAAAAGCTTCCCTGTGGCGGCTAGGAGGGCTTGGTCTCCCCCAGCCATCCCTTCTCCCGGCCCCCTCCTGGCCCCTGCCCTCCGTGCCAGGCTGGCACCGGTTGCAGTGCCATGCCGGCCGCCGGCGTGCTAGAAGCTGGCGGGTCGTATCAGCATGCGGGTGCCCTTCAGGGAGTAGCTGGGCCCCTGGAAGTGGTGCCAGCGGATGCCGTTGAGCTTGCGGATGTTGTGCCGGGCCGGGTAGTAGATGCCGTTCAGGTTGGAGAGGCCGCAGGCGTCGAACCACCAGCCTGCGAGGAGGGAGCAGGGTGGGAGGGTGGCATCCCAGGTGGGCACCCATGGGTGCTGCGTGGGCGTCCCCCCCTCCTGCTCGCTCACCTCCCGACAGCATCTGGGCGCACTTGCAGAGGCAGTTGTCGTTGTCGGCGTCGCGGGTGCTGAAGTGGGTGCCCTGCAGCGCCATGCCGCTCTGCTGCCCGGCCGTGCCGCTGTAGTCCTGCAGCGAGAGCCTGCCGCCCGGCCCAGCACGGCGTGGCCACGGCCACCATCAGTGCTGGCTGGCTGGCAGCACTGGGGGGGGTTTCACAAAACCCCTCAGCCCTGCTCAGGGCGGGGGGGTCGAAGGCCATGGGATGCCATAAGCTGAGCAAGGGCCGGCATGGAGGGATGCAGGCAGAGATCCTGCAGCTCCAGCTTGGCCTGGGTCTGCTGGTTTGGAGGGCCTGTCCTGGGGGTCCCCAAGGGTGGAGGTCATGCTATGCTGGGACAGAGAGGACCCCCCCCCAAGGCTCCTCCAGTCCTCTTTGCTGGGGGTTGGCTCGGTGCACGCATGGGATGCATGGTGCAGAGGATCTCCAGGGTCTGGTCCCATCTCCAGCCCAGCACCAAAGCACCCAGCTGCCTGCCACCCCTCCTGCCCGTGGCCAGGTTGATGTTCCTGGGAGCACACGCCATCCTCACAAGCCTGGCAGCAGGAGCGCAGCATGCCTCCCCAGACATGGGTGTAGCAGCCTGGGGATGCCTGGAACCCCCAGGAATGCCTGGCGGCTGTGGCCGTGTCACCCCTACTTGCCCAAGCATCGAGCTGCGATGCGAGTGCCCTGGCTGCCTGCTGGCACCACGCTCAGCTGCCGGCTGGGATGGGAAATCCCGCTGCCTTGATGCAATTTCATGCATTAAAATCTACTTTGGGTTCTCAGGAGCCCATGGAGTGAAGAAGGAGTGGGTGGCACAGCAATGTCCCCTGGCACCTGGGGAGGAGCTCTGCTGAGCCGTAATCCCGCCTGGAAATCTCAGCGAAGCCCTGTGTGATCCTGCACCCCCCTGGGCCATGCGCTTCTCCCGGGCACCGCAGCCAGCCCTTGCCCGTGGCCACCGCTGCCCGTGGGGCTTGGGGACAGCTGGAGGCGGGGGGGGGCGGGGGGGCGCCCCGGCAGTGCTTCCCCCCTACCTGAAAAGCTGCCGCTCGCTCCCCAGCTGGAATTTCCTGTAGTGGGCATAGACCTGGCCGCCCTCCCAGTCCCGCAGCTCGACGCGCAGCGCGGCGGGGGCCTCGCT